CTACTGTAAATGAGATTTCCTTGATTTCTTTTTCAGATGGTTAGTGTATAGAAATGATACTGATTTTTGTACATTGAGCTTGTATCCTGCATGTATTTGCAAAATCTATGCATATCCTCCTGTAAACTTTAATTTTTAGGTTACCTATACTACCTAATACAATGTTAATGTTAGTTGAGTTTTTTTGTATTTTTCATTGCATGTTATTTTGTTTGAATATTTTTCATCTATGATTGGTTAAATCCACAGATGCAGAACCTGCAGATATGGAGAAATAATGGTACTGTACTGAATAGTAGTGGTGTGGGTGAGCACCACTGTCTTCTTCTTGTTCTTACAGGAAACATTTTCAGATTTTCACCACTGAGTATGATGTTAGTTTTGAGCTTGCCATATGTGGCCTTTGAAGTATATGTTGAGGAAAATTCTTTCTGTACCTAGTTTGTTGAGTGATGTTATCATGAAAAAATATTTATGTCCCATGTTTTTTCTGGATTTAGATGATCATATAACTTTATCCTTCAATTCTATTTATGTGGTGTATCACAGTTATTAATTTGTGCATATTGAGACACTCTTGCACATCAGGGATACCTTGCATTTGTTTATGGTGTATAATTCTTATATATTGGACTCAATTTGCTAGTATTTTGTTGTGAATACTTGCATCTATGTTCATCAGGAATACTGGCCTAAAATTTTCTTTCCTTGTAGAATCCTTGTCTGGCTTTGATGTCAGGGTAACAGTAGCCTGTACAGCAAGTATGTACAGTGAGTATGGAAATGTTTCTTCCTCTTCAATTTTTTTTGGAAGAGTTTGAGAAGGATTGGTGTTAATTCTCATTAAATGTTTGGTAGAATTCCCCAATGGCACCATCAGGTTTTGGTCTTTTCTTTTCTGGAAGGGTTTTTTTGACTACTGATTCAATCCCCTTACTTGTTATATTGCTCTGTTCAGATTTTCTGTTTCTTCATGATTCAATATTGGTAGTTTGTCTATTCTCAGGAATTTATCCATCTTCTAGATTATCCACTTTGTTGGCATATAATTGTTCACAGTAGTCTCTCATGTGCCTTTGTATTTTGTTGGTATCAGTGGTAACTTATTCTTGCATTTATAATGTTGAGTTTTTTCTCTTTTTTCTTAGTCACACTAAGGACTTACAAATTTTGTTTATCTTTCCTAAAAACTCACTCTTCATTTCATTGACATTTACTATTTTTCTAGTCTCTCTGTTGCTTATTTCTGCTGTCATTTATCTCTCTTTTTTTTTTTTTTTTTTCCTGCTTTGTACTTAGTTCTTTTTCAAGTCCTTCAGATGCAGAGTCAGGTTATTTCTTTAAAAAAATGCTATAACTTATTCCTTTAGAACTGCTTTTGCTCTTCTAAGGTCTGGTTATTTTGTGTTTCCCTGTTGTTTGTCTCAAGATATTTTTACATTTCAGTATTGAGTTCTTTTTTGACCTGTTGGTTGGTTGTTCAGGAATATGTTTTTAATTTCTACATACTTGCGAATTTTCCAGTTTTCCCCATTTAGATTTCTAGTTGCATACCACTTGAGTCAAAAAAGATACTTGATATACTTTTAATATCCTCCTAAATTCATTAAGGTTTTGTGGCTTAACATGACCTATCCTGAAGACTGTCCTGTACACAGTTGAAAGAAATGTGTATTCTGCTACGAATGAATAGGAATGTTCTGTATATGTCTGTTAGGTCCAATAGGTCTATAGTGCCGTTCAAGTCTGCTGTTTCCATGTTGATTTTCTGGCTGGATGATCTATCCATTAGTGGAAGTAGGGTATTAAAGTCTCTGTTACTGTATTGCTATTTCTTCCATCAATTCTGTTACTTTGCTTTATTTATATATTTAGGTGCTCCAATGTTAGGTGTATATATATTCATCATCGCACTATCTTCCTGATGAACTGATCCCTTTATCATCATATAATAACCTTGTGTTTTGTGAAAGCTTTGCACTTAAAGTCTATTTTGTGGGATGTAAGTGTAGTCACCATGCTCTCTTTTGACTACCATTGATATGGAATACCTTTTTCTATCCTTTCACTTTTAGTCTATGTGTATCCTTTATCTGAAGTCTCCTCTAGTCACCATATAGTTACAGCTTGTTGTTCCTTAATCCATTCAGCCACTCTGTCTTTTGATTGGAGAATTTAATGCATTCAAAGTAATTACTGATAGTAAGATGTACTAACTCAATTTTGTACACTGTTTTCACTGTTTTGTAGTTCCTTTTCTCTTTCTTATTCTGCAATATAACAATGTCTTGTGGCGGTATGCTTTGATTCCTTTCTCCTTATATTTTGTGTACCTATTAGGCTTTTTCCTTGTGGTTACCATGATGCTTACTTAAAACATGTTATAATTCTATCAGTCTATGTTAAGCTGATCACATACAAAAACTTTATCCTTTAATTTCTTTTCTCCCCATGTTTTGTTATTAATATCACAATTTGTCCTTACACAATGTGTATCCATTAACACATTATTGTAGCTAGTTTAACACATATTTTTGTCTTTTATCTTTCATATTAGAGTTAAAAAGCAATTTACAAATCACCATTACAGTATTCCGAATTTGACTATATTCTCACCTTTATAGTAAGTTTTATACTTTCATATGTTTTCATGTTATAAGTTAGCATCTTTTATTTCAACTTGAAGAACTCGCATTAGAATTTCTTGTGAGGCATGTCTAGCGTGTCAAATTCTCACAGCTTGTTTTCTTGGCAAGTTTTTATCTCTCCTACATTTCTGAAGGACAGACAGCCTTGGTGGATATCGTTTCTTGGTTGAGTTTCTTTGGCCAAATGTATCATTTCACTCTCCTGGTCTGCAAAGTAACTGCTGATATTTTTATAAAGGTTCTTGTGCATGTAATAAGTGACTTTTCTGTTGCTGCTTTAAAAATTTGAGAACTTGATGTGTCAGTGAAAATTTCTTTATACTTCTTCTATGTGGGGTTCCTTAGGATTCATAGACATGCATGTTCATTTCCATCTCCAGATTTGGGAAATTTTCTGTCTTTATGTTTTTTTGGTAAGCTTTCTTCCTTTTTTCTTTCTTTGCTTCTTCTAGAGGTCCCATAATGCACAGGTTTGTTTACTTCATGGTGTCTCAAAGGCCCATAGGCTTTCTTTACTTTTTGTTTCCTCTAACAAGGTAATATTAACAGCTGTCTTTGAGCTTGTTGATTTCTTATTTTGTTTGATCAAGTATGCTGCTGAAGTTCTTTATTGAATTTGTCAGTTCAGTTACTGTGCATTTGAGTTCTAGAGTTTAAGTATCTTTTCTCTCTCTTTGTTAAACTTCTCATTTTCTTCATGTAAATTTCCTTATTTTGGTTAGTTGTCTGTGTCCTCTTGTAGCTCACTGGACTTTAGATAATCATTTTGAATTCTTTCCCAGGCAGTTTTCAGATGGCCATTTCTTTATGGTCTTATTCTGGTGGCAACATATTTCTCTGATTATTCATGATGCTTGTAGTTTGCGTTGGTATTTGCACATTTAAAAAAGTAGGCACCTCTTCCAAGCTTAATAGACTGGCTTTAGCAGAGAAAGCCCTTCACCAGTCTGCAAGTCCAGAGGTTTATGGTGGATAATCTAGTGGGGTCCTCGCTGGGGCTGGCCTGATGCCTGGGTCCTCAGGAGCCAGCCTGCTTCTGGGGTCTACTGGGCAGACGTGGACCTTTAGCCACAGGAATGGCCTGGAGTCTGGAATTGTGGAAGCCTACCTGGGGCACCATTTTAAATTGTACATTTCAGTAGATCTTAGTACATTCAGAGTTATGAAATCATCACCACTAAGTTTAGAACACTGTTATCACCATAAAAAGAAACTCTGTACCAATTAGCACTGTGTAGCTATGTTTCACCTTTGTAGGAAAGATGTGCATAACTTTGCAGCAACTTTTAAGATGTATTGCTCAGTTCACCATGTTTTCCTTCTCTAGTCATGATGACCTGTTATTCCAAAGATGGGGAACCATGGCCCTACCATCTCACCCTAGAAGTGGTGATAAAAATGCAGACAAGCCCTTGATGAACTGAGAGAAAATCTGGGTGTCCAAGAAATAAAGCTTTGTTAAGCTACTAAGATTTTGGCAGTGGTTTTCAGACACGGAATAATCTAGTCTAACATGACTAACAAACAGGATAAAAGTCTGTTTAATGAGAAACTACCTAGGAGAAGCAAAAATTTTAAGAAAATGTTTAGAGTTGATTATTTTAAAATGACTCTGAACACTAATCACCTTCTTGAAATGGGGGAAAAAAGAGGCTGATTTTGAGTCAGGTAATCATTAAACAGAAGTTACTTCATTTGAGCTAAGAAAAAGACAGCCACTTATATTTATCAAAAAGAGGTTCTAATATGACTCTCTCATGAACTTTGCTCTGTGGAGGAAAGCAGGATAGGTAGCACTGTGTTATACAATTATGCTTCTTTTTTTTTTTTCTAAAAAAAAAAAGGGATTTATTTTTTCTTTCTGGAATTCTGTTTGAAATTTATTTGGTCTGTGGTATAAGATGAAGTCCTGGATTGAAACCCTATCCTAAACACTTTTCCTTTAGCCTATATTAAACATAATCTTTCTTCTTAAATGAATAATCAGAATACCCCAGGTCTCCATTTTTGATATCCTATCACTGTTCAGTATAGTCATGAAACATAATATGTGAGATATTCTGTCATGATCTTAAGACAGACTCCATTCATTACCAATGCTACAGTCCTAGTTTAGGTTTTTATAATTCATCATCACTACAAAGTCCTCTCAACTAATCTCCATGCCTTGTTTTCTCCTCTTCTAATCTATTCTTTACTAGTTGCCAGATTAAACACCCACAAACACAGTTCTGATTATGACACTTTCTTATACAAAGATCTTCATTAGTTTTGTTCTGAGAAAATAAATAATTTAGCCAGGTATTAGTATTATTTTGCTAGAGCTACAGTAACAAAGTCCCACAAACTGGATGGCGGAAACAACAGAATTTTATTGTCTTACAGTTCTGGAGGCAAAAGTCTGAGATAAAGTATTGACAAGGTTGTTCTTCTGAGGACTGAGGAAAAATGTATTCAATGCCTATCCCCTAACTTCTGGTGGTTTTCTGGCATCTTTGCCATTTCTTAGCTCATCTTAAACTCTGCCTTTATCTTCACATGGTATTCTCCTTGAGTCTGTGTTCAAATTTCCTCCTTTTATCAGAACACCAGTAACACTGTATTAGAGCCCACCCTACTGAAAGATGATCTTATCTTAACTAATTAAGATCCTCATTTTGTTGATCCTGCAACAACCTCATTTCGAAATAAAGTCAGATTTTGAGGTGGTAGGGGTTAGGACTTCAACACAAATTTTGGGAGGGACACATATGAATCCTTAATAGTATTAAAAGCTCTCCATAAGGTTTCCTACTTACCTTTTCAGCTTTATCCCTCATTACCTTGTTTCTTTACTTTATACCTGAGGCAGTGTAGACAACAAGACGCCCTGCTCTTTCATGAATCATTTTCATCTCTGTGTATTACTTCTCTCCAATTGATTTGCATCTATTCACTAAACCATAAACATTCTTCAAGGTCAAGCTTAAATGATCCATCTTCCGTAAGGATAAACACAAATTTCCTATCTAAAAACAACTCTCTTTTTTTCCCTCCCTAAGTACATTATTTATACCTGTCTTCTGCAATTTAGCATGTCTTAACTTGTGTTGTACATGGCTTACCTAGTCTGTTACTACCAGACAGTAAGTCCTTTATAAAAATGAGGTACACATTTGACTCATCTTTTACTTTTCCCACAGTTCTTTTCATAGTACTTATAATAAATATTTATTGAACAAAGTTGTGAATATCACATAAATTACAGTTTAAAATCTTTGATACTGGTTATTTTATCAGGATTATTTTTTATGATTACAGAAAAAATCTTCACAGATATTTTTGTTGTTGTTGTTGAGACCAGACTCACCCTGTCACTCAGGCTGGAGTGCTGTGGCATGAGCACATCTCACTGCAACCTTAACCTCCTGAGTCAAGGAATGCTCCTCCTGAGTAGCTGGGATCACAGGCATGTGCCACCACACCTGACTAATGTTTAAAAATTTTTTGTAGAAATGGAGTCTCCCTATGTTGCTCTGACTGGTCTCGAGCTTCTGGGGTCAAGTGGTCGTCCTGTCTTGGCCTCCTAAAGTCCTGAGATTTATAGGTATGAGCCACCATACCAGGCTGATGCTTTCCTCTTTAATATATAGTAGGAAAATGAACAAATGTTTTCCAACCAATACATAGTTTCAGACCCTAATCCTGACCCTATCTAACCAATTAGATAATTTGATATGACCAATATCTTGCAAAAGCCCATTAAATAACCCTATATTTTTCATACAATCTTGTTTTTAGAAGTTCTAACAAAACCAAAAGAAGTTTCATTTCATTCATTGTTACAGTTGGTTCAATACTTATCAATCCCATTCAAAGTAGTTCAAACATATTGTTGAAAAGGTAGAGAATTTCAGAAAATTTAAAACTGAGAAATGGTACCAAAGCCATACAAAGATTTGAGAGATCTGAGCTAGAATCTACTTCCTATGAAGTGGAGGTGCTTTGTCCATTCTCTTTTTAGAAGAAAAAGTGAATTCTATATATTACATGCTTTCTTTGCCTTCATATAGATGTATAAGGATATTCAAATGTGTCACAATTTTAAATAAATAAATAACTATAAAATAAACCTTCTGAATTTAGTCATTAAGAATGTGTCAAGATACTTCTTCTATACAACCGTTTTTAATGAATAAGATATCATTAAGAGTTTATACATTCTAAACAAGCACTTTAAATAAATTTTGGTATTTACTAACTTAAGTATTCAAGAACCTGGTTTGAGGAATCCAACAGACTGAAAGTCTGCTTTTCAAGAGTACTATGATCGTCTATCAATGGAGAGATTTTCGTATTTCTATATTCTAATAGTTCACGATCCTTGCTTGATGTCAGTAATTCATTATCAACTATACCAATAGTTGCATCTTCCACCAGAATATTTGCTTGGTATGCTCCAACCGGAATTTCAGGCAATCCAATGTAGTCATGATCTGCCACTACTGAACCGTGCAAGAGATATAGACTTTCTGAAAGAAGAGAAATCATACATTTGACTTTTAGAATAATAATTAAACATATTTTAAAATTAAACAATGTTAAGTCAGAAATAAAATCCCAAGTAATAAAAATTAACTATCAAGATTAAGTTCTAGGGAGTTCTACTCTCTATTAAATAAATATGAATGTCAAAGAATAAATTAAATGAGATATAAATTTGACAGTTCATACATAAAAAATGCAGGAAAGATCAAGGATTTTAAAACAGCCATTTTCCTGTTCCCTTGACCTGCCCTTGGTAGATATGTATGTATGGGGAACAGGGGGTAGAAGGAGTGAGAATTATGGCATAGATTAAAAATAAAATTATAAGGCTGGTCATGGTGGCTCACGCCTGTAATCTCAGCACTTTGTAAGGCCAAAGCCAGTGGATTGCTCAAGTCCCGGAGTTTGAGACCAGCCTGGCCAACATGGCAAAACCCCGTCTCTACAAAAAATACAAAAAAATAGCAAGGTGTGGTTGCCTGTGCCTGCAGTCCTAGCTTCTCAGGAGGCTGAGAACTATCACTTGAACCTGAGCAGTTAAGGTTGCAATGGCGCCTCTATAAAGCATTTTTGGGTGAATTAACAGGGTCATAGAATGATTTTAAAAAATAGAATTATTAAATCCTTGCATTTACAACTTGAGATCATTTTCTTATCTTTATAAACCCCATATTGGGAGGATAATATCAAATTGTTACAACATGAACTTAAAAACAACATGCCAACTCAGGTTTATGTGATAGAAATGTGTAAGAAGGCAGACTGCAATGAAGTAGCTTAAAAACCTTCGCTTATTTAAATCTAATTTGATGCCAAAATTCTTTGGAACTTTTAAGGTCTACCTAAGCCATACTGAAGTATTGACAGGGAATCTTCCTTGTCAGCATTTTATTGTATTTTGAGCAAATTTACCATCACCATCAGAAAAAAAAAATGCTTAAAATGAATGTTGAACTGATGGCAAATCTTCTATATAAAGATTAATATGTATGAAAGGATTCCTCCCTATTGATATTTTAATTCGTTGCAAGAAGACATTATTTTACCAAAGCTGATTAAATTCCTGAACCCCAGCCTTTTCTAAATTTGCCCTGAAAACATCAAAATATAGATAAAGATATATTCACTTATCTCTATTTTTCTTTCATTTATTCATTCATTCATGATTTTGCTCTGTCACTCAGGCTGGAGTGCAATGGCATGAATAGCAGGGACTATAGGCACGTGTCGCCATGTCCGGCTAATTATATTGCCTAGGTTGGTCTCCTGAAGACTTTAAGAGCTTAAGGAGTCCTCAAATCTTAAATTTGAGAAAGCAAAAGGAAGATTAATTGGCCTTTTTAGATTAGAGACCAATGAAAGTGTCTCAGAGCAGACAAATTTGCTAGTATATTTTGAAAAACAATCCTACTCTATTCAGCCTCATAATGTTATTATGAATAGCTCACTGAACCCTAGAAATTACAAACTTTAATAGATCACACAAAGTTATTCTCTCTACCAAAATATGGCATAAGTGGGCTTGGGCTTGTATGGCCATTTATTCTGCCTATAATTCTGAAATACAAAAAATAAAAATAAATGATGTGGCCAGCTGCAGTGGCTTATGCCTATAATCCCAGCACTTGTGGAGGCCGAGGTGGGTGGATCACTTGAGGTCAGAAGTTGGAGACCAACCTGGCTAACACGGTGAAACCCCATCTTTACTAAAAATACAAAAATTAGCCAGGCATGGTGGTGGGTGCCTGTAATCCCAGATACTCAGGAGGCTCAGGTGAGAGAATAGCTTGAACTCAGGAGGTGGAGGTTGCAGTGAGGTGAGATCACACCATTGCACTCCAGCCTGAGTGACAAAGCAAGACTGTCTCAAAAAAAAAAAAAAAAAAAAAGAAAAACATGAGATGTGTTATGTCCAATAGTAGCAAGAGGGAAGAAAAAATAATCAACAAAATTGAAACACTCTCAGAGTTTTAACATCAAAATTTGCAATTACTCTACTGTTAACACTGGAGAAGGGTAGGAAGTAGTTATTAAGGGAATTTTAAAAGGTTAGGAAGGGTAAAAGTTTCATAGTTTTAAGGCCTGTACACTTCTGCCAAGTTACCAGTGATAGTAGATATCATAGGCATTTAAGAAATGTCCAAAGACTCTCTCGAAGTATTGATAAAGGAAGTTTTCTGTCTGAAAAAGCTTTCTTCATACAGATGAAGTAGGTCTATTTTGGAAAATTTTGTCTAGTAAACATATGTCAATAGGGAAAAATATGCGTAGATATAAAGCTCTTAGAAAGTATCACTTTAATTTGCTGAAATGGATTCAGAGACCTTGAACTTGAGTACCTCCTAGTTACACTGGTTAGAAACATCTGGACATTACTAACCTCACTTGATTTTAAGAGAAGAGCTTCTGTATGTAAGTCACACACATACATACATACACACAAACTTTTTCCTCTAAGTTAACCTTTAAAGTACCTTATTGTAATAAAACCATAGAGAAGAAGGACTACACTCAGCAAATTCTACACAAATCACTTTATACACAATGGAAATCTACTCTGAATTATGTCAAAGTTCTGTTTGTTTAGAAAAAAAAATTCTCATTCATTCACAAAGGTCAAATATGTTTCAACTCCTACTGTGGTCTAAGTCTACTGGAGCTAAAAGAAATGCTCTTTAATTTCAATAATCAGAAAAGAGACTCTTGGGCCTTACATGTTGAACAAATAATATTTTGGATACATTGAGTTATATGAAATATATCATTGAAGTTATTTTCACTTATTTCTGTACTTTTTAAAATGTGACTACTAGACAATTTTAAATTACATAGCTCCTGTATTATTATTCATTTATTGGACAACACTTAATTTAAAACAATCCTGAGTTAGGGATAAAAGAACATGATTAAACTTTTTGCCCTGAAAACACAGGGATGGGGAGTAAACAAACAGAACATATTAAAGGTCTTTTCTAGTCAGTTACATTGCACACTACATTTCACTAAGTATTTTTCTTTCCTCACTCTATTAATATAGTTATGATTATGACCTCTGTTTTAAAGCATCATTTTGGTTTTGACCAGACTGAATAAGTAAGTTTTTAGTTTCTTTGAAACTAAAATATTTTCAAGACATTTCAGGAAGGTGTTAATCAGCAGTTTTGATACCCATTTTTACTATTATTTTTTATTTATTTATTTTGAGACGAAGTCTTACTCTGATGCCAGACTGGAGTGCGTTGACGCAATCTCGGCTCCCTACAACCTCTGTATCCTGGGATCAAGCAATTCTCCTCCCTCAGCCACCCGGTAGCTGGGATTACAGATGCCTGCCACCATGCCCAGCTAACTTTTGTATTTTTAGTAGAGACAGGTTTTCACCATGTTGGCCAGGATGGTCTTGATATCCTGACCTTGTGATCCAACCACCTTGGCCTCGCAAAGTACTGGTATTACAGGCATGAGCCACCACGCCTGACACTGATACCCATTTTTAATGTAGAGTTTTTTAAAGAGATGGGGTCTCAGCCCAGCGCAGTGGCTCACACCTGTAATCCCAGCACTTTGGGAGACCAAGGAGGGCAGATCAGCTGAGGTCAAGAGTTTGAGACCAGCCTGCCCAACATGGCAAAATGCCATCTCTACTAAAAATACAAAAATTAGCTGGATGTAGGGGTGGGCACCTGTAATCCCAGCTACTCGGGAGGCTGAGGCAGGAGAATCAATTGAACCCAGGAAGCGGAGGTTGCAGGGACCTAAGATTGCAGCATTGCACTTCAGCCTGGGCAACAAGAGTGAAACTCCATTTCAAAAAAAAAAAAAAAGATGTGGTCTCACTCTGTTACAAAGGCTGGTGTGCAGGAGTATGATCTTGGCTCACTGTAGCCTTAAACTCCCGGGATCAAGTGGTCCTCTGCCTCAGCTCCCTAAGTAGCTGTGACTAAAGGTGCACATCACCATGCCCAGCTAATTTCTGTATTTTTTTTTGTAGGGATGGTGTTTCGCTACATTGTCCAGGCTGGTCTTGAACTCCTGAGCTCAGGCAATCCACCCATCTCGGCCTCTCAAAATGCTGGGATTACAGGCATAAGCCACTGTGCCCAGCCTTAACATAGTTTTAAGGTGTAACTTAATAGATAAATAATCAATTTTTAAATTTCCCTAAGGAGAAAAATAAATAAAAATTACAGCTTCAAAGAAGTCTGATTTGGATTATTTCTTCAATCAGAAAGAAAAAGACAAGGTTTCAGACTACTTGATTTTCTTATTTTAAAGAGAAGTGACTAAACTAATCCTATATATGATCTGATAATCCTCAAACTATTAGAATGTGCTGTCATACTAGTATATCTTTTCTCAACACAAAATAATAACTATAATTTGATACGATATCACTGTTATTATAATAACTAATACTGTCAACAGAGAACTGAATAACCATTGGTTTAGAAATATATAACTGGACTGGGCACAGTGACTCACATCTGTAATTCCAACATTTTGAGATTGAGTCTTACTCTGACGCCAGACTTACTTAAAATAGCAATGACAAATATTGTAGACCTCGTACTGAATGTGCTCACTCTACATTCAATTCTAGATAAGAATGGATAAGAGGTTGGCAAAAGAACTATATCTGCTTTAGACAGTGTCTTTAATAGAGCTATGAAATCTCAAGGCTAGTAACAGCAGCAATGACAAATGTGGATAGATAGTTATTTGGGCTATAGCACATCAAAATTTACGACAAATAAAAATTTCAATAATTATTCAAATCAATTTGTTTGCTTTAATTCCGCTCAAGGACTCTTTAAAATCAACTTGTGAGGTGGTTTTCAAGAAAATCGTGAAAAATATTTTCAAGAAAATATGTGATATTGAAGGAAAAAATGGCAGAAATTACATTTACTTTGAATTTCTACAAATCAGAGAAATGTAACCTTTTTTTCCCCACTTATCTTGCAGAAGAGAGAGATCATTAAACGTAGCTCAGAACTGAGAAGAGGCACAAACCAGGAAAGCATTTATCTTCTAACAAAGAGAATGAAAGTACTTGTGAGTTTTCAGGATGAGAACATAGTTCAGGGTAAGTTTACTGACTAAACAACTGGGTCTGTCACAAGAAGGCAAGTGCTAAGAGGTTGTAACATGAGAGTTGTACGCCAGATTAGAAGCAGAGTTGAGCTATCATTACTGAGCGGCCCAAGAGGGCTTTACCTCTTAAGAAAAGGTGTAGGGTAAGTGTAGGTTATTTATACTGTTGCTACTCTTTTTGTTACTAATATTTGCTAAAGCCTGTTAGTAACTTGTTTATGTTGTTTAAAAATATATTTTCCATTAAATGTTACTCATAAATAATATTAATGCTTCATCTGGCTAAGGTACCAACTAACTTCCTCTCAGTTATCCACCTCAGAGAAGTTCTAAGGAAGCAGATACATTAGGACAAAAAAAAAGTCTTGATAAAGTGGGGAACATAATCCAAAAGCCATGGCAAAAACATCACTTAACTAGTCTATGACAGAAAGGGTTACAGAGAACAGGATATCTTGACTGTTCAGAACCAAAGTTAGGGGCAAGGATAGCCTTGTTTAGAGTGCTATTACCTCTTCTTACAGCACCTTACAGCATTCTGAGGATACCCCACTCTGTACCCACACCTGGCCCACAACCATGACCTAACTATAAAGCAATATTAAAATTTAACGACATTTTCAAAGTACCCTAATATTTATCTGACATCTGGATTCTGGACAGTATGGTTGTTTTTGGCATTAACGATCATAGTGGCTGTTTTTCATGCTAAAAAGAGGCAAGAGTGACTAACAGAACATTGTAAGGCCAGGTGCAATGGCAGATGCATGTAATCTCAGCACTTTGGGAGGCCAAGGCAGGCAAATCACTTGAGGCCACGAGTTCAAGACCAGCCTGGCCAATGGTGAAACCTCGTCTCTACTAAAACACAAAAATTTAGCCAGGCCTGGTGGCACATGCTTATAATCCCAGCTACTTGGGAGGCTGAGGCACAAGAACTGCTGGAATCCAGGAAGCAGAGGTTTCAATGAGCCCAGACTACACCACTGAACTCTAGCCTGGGGGACAGAGTGAGACTCTGTCTCAAAAAAAAAAAAAAAAAAATTGAGAAAGCAAAAATAGAGATGATGTTAAGATGTTATCTTTCCTCCAGAGGAAAACAGGTTTAGTATCTCCCACATAAACTATAAAAAACATAGTAGAAATTTAAAAAATGGCCAGGCACAGTGGCTCACACCTGTAATCCCAGCACTTTGGGAGGCCGAGGTGGGCGGATCACTTGAGGTCAGGAGTTTGAGACCAGCCTGGCTAACATGGTAAAACATCGTTTCTACTAAAAATACAAAAAAATTTCCAGATATAGTGGCGTGAGCCTGTAATTCCAGCTACTTGGGAGGTTGAGGCAGGAGAATTGCTTAAACCCTGGAGGTGGAGGGGTCAGTGAGGTGAGATCGTGCCATTGCACTCCAGCTTGGGCAACAAGAGCGAAACTCCATCTAAAAAAAAAGTTCGGTGCTGTGGCTCACGCCTGTAATCCCCGGCGTGAAGTCAGGAGTTCAAGACCAGCCTGGCCAACATGGACTAATAATACAAAAATTCACCAGGCATGGTGGTGCATGCCTGTAATCCCAGCTACTCCAGAGACTGAGGCAGAACTGCTTGAACCTAGGAGGTGGAGGTTGCAACGAGCCAAGATCACATCACTGCACTCCAGCCTGAGCAAAAGAGTGAGACTCGGGCTCAAAAACAAAAACAAAACAACAACAATAAAAATCTCATGGGCCTGACAGAAGAGATACTGTCATAAAACAGACTACCTGGGATAGCTAAAGCTATAACAAATTTTATGAAGATGAGAAAGAAAAAGAAAACCTAACAAAAGAGGGGAGAAAGGTTTCTGTTATTTTTAACTTTTCTCCTTACCCAAAGGAATAAAAATGTAGAGGAGTGACAGATAATTTACCTTGTTCACTGGATTCTCTTATGTAGGGCTTAAGGTGAGACATTTTGATAGGTCTTTTCAGTCTAGCCCCAGTGTTGTCTCTCAGGACAGCACATCCACTTTCTGTAATATAGTCTATGACACAAGGACCAACCCATTCAGACTGAAAACGACCATCCTTCCACCAATTTTTCCTTTGTCTTAAAACTTCATGACCCACTTTTAAGTGAAATGGATTTAATTGCTTTGGTTTCTTTTTAACAATGATCTTGCTTTTATTTAGTTCATCCAAATTGTTGTTCTCCATCTACAAGTGTAAAAAGAAAAAGAACAAAGTTATGAAAGAGTTATAGTATCTTGAAAGTAAATGCAGATAATGAGAATATTATAAAAAATACTTATTGGGATGCTACTAAAAGATAGGCATGAAGTCTATTTAATTCTTAAAACAACATTTCAAAATCAGTATTATTAACACTACTTTATATATAAGGTAAACTAAGATAGGTTAAGTAATTTGCCAAACTCAAACTCAAAGCAGTTAAGATTATAGGTTTGAATCCAGCTTGACTTGATTCCAAAATCCATAGCTTTCTCATTATTGCCTCTCAGCATTTCATAGCAAGTAAACCAACTTCTTAATCAAGACAAGCAAAATTTGACAGATAAAAAATTTTGGCATGTAAGGGTATACTGCGTGTGTGCATGCATGCATACATGTATATACTGCAATTTTAAATATAACTTTATAAAGTTTTAGATTACAGTTTTTCTATTAAATAGAATCACCTGGCTCATTGAAGTTGTCTTATTCTCCATTATTTTATCGGCTTCTTTAATTGCATCTAGAATTTTGGCAAACATACTTGTATTATCACCATCCACTTCATGAAGACTATCTGAAGTCTCAGGCATATAGGGATTTCGATTAAACATTTGAAAATATGGTGTGTTTTTTGTAGGCTCCTATTTTAAAGAAAATAAACGTCAATTTTGTAATAAAACATTTATCTGGCCAAGAAAGTCATAACTCAGAAGTACAGAATTATAAAAAGGCACATACCACGTGAGTTACATTGAAGGCAAATGAAACAGCTGATAGGTGATCATCCCAATTGTTTGGGTGGTCAGCACAGTGTCTGGAGAGAAACGTTTTGATTGTGCTAGGTGTACTTTCTGTTGGATTAACAGTTCCAGAGGCAGGAGAAATTATAATTTGCTTTATGCCAAACAATCTGTACAGTTCAACATTGATCTGAAAAATACATAAAACAAAGCTGGTTTTTTAAAATTTGTGTTTTATTTTCCCATTGTCTTAAAAAAGGCTTCAAAAGAATTAGAATCTTGCCTTTTTAGTGACCATAACATTCTATATAAAAACATACAAAAATATGTAAAATTTTATGTATACAATAGTGGTTACCATTTATTGAGTCTACCATATGCTGATCATCACACTAGATGCTCTACACTATTGTCATTAGATCTTACAAGTTTTTGAGGCTGAAGCTTTAAGAGATTAAGTGCCCTGCACAATACACACATACAACATGGAAGAATAGAACTGAATACTAACTTTGAGTTTAATTTTTTTCTTTATTTGTGGGGTGGGGAGACAGGGTCTTGCTCTGTCACATAGGCTGGAGTGCAGCCTCCACCACCTGGGCTGAGGCAATTCTCTCACCTCAGCCTGCCTAGCAGCTAGGACTACAAGCATCTGTCACCATGTCCAGCTAATTTTTAAATACTTTGTACAGATGGAGTTTTGCCATGTTGCCTAGGCTGGTCTCAAACTCCTGGACTCAAGCAATCCACCCACCTCAGCTTTTAAAAGTGCTGAGATTACAGGCATAAGCCACTGAACCCGGCCCTCAAGTAATTTTTTAATTTAGTAGACAGTCTCTCAAAAAAAAAAAAAAAAAAAAAAACCCACACTAGGTCATAAGTTAATGTTTATGAAGCACTTAAAACAGTTATTGGCATCACGCCTGTAATCTCTGCACTTTGGGAGGCTGAGGCGGGTGGATCACGAGGTCAAGAGATCGAGACCATCCTGGTCAACATGGTGAAACCCCATCTTTCCTAAAAAGACAAAAAATTAGCTGGGCATGGTGGCGTGTGCCTGTAATCCCAGCTACTCGGGAGGCTGAGGCAGGAGAACTGCCTGAACCCAGGAGGCGGAGGTTGCGGTGAGCCGAGATCGCGCCACTGCACTCCAGCCTGGGTAACAAGAGCAAAATTCCGTCTCAAAAAAAAATAAAAAACAGTTATTGTCAATAACAAGCATTTTATAACTTCTAACTGCTAGTATTATTGTTACTATATTATGCGCAGCACTTAAAAGAAACCAAGATGAGTTTACAATACTTGTAACCGTAAGCCTGTTAAATATAATTTTTCCTATGTCATCCTTCAGACTTATTTTTTCCTTATTATTTTGAGTTCAGTAAACCTTTGGCTCATAAATCTGTCTTTTAAAATGAAGATGAGTAGTATCAGAATAACTAAATAAGCAAAGTTAACACAAGAGGGGAAAGCAACAAAAAGAAAACTACATTTCCCAGACTCCCTTGCAGGTAGGGGTGGTCATGTGACATAATTCTAGCCAAAAAGTTGTAAGTAAAAGTTGTTGGGCAAACTCAGCTGGTACTAGCTTTGTTTGCTCATTACTCTCTTCTTTCTTTCTGACTGAAGTGTAGGCACTGTGGCATGTGCTCTGGCAGCCATGTTGTGAATACAATAGGAGTGACTATCACTGCCAACATATACTGGGATAATATATATAAAACATATATTAATGTATTGGGATAGGGAAAGGCAGTCTGTTACTTCGATTGAATACACTTCCTAGCTGATATACATACTAATTCAGGCTGCCTGTCTTTAATTAAACAGTAATTAGAAAGAAATCCCAGAAAATAGATGTCATTTGGGTCAGCTTCAATCTGAGTCTGGATCAATAGTTTTAAATGACACTTGAAAAAGCCTTTAACTTCTTTGTTTCAAGAGGTTGCCTAAGAATGATCCAGGGAATCCATTTGTGAAATGCTATCTTGACAGCCTTGCCCTAGCAGCCCCCCAACCATCAAACCAGATACTCTGTCAGTCCTTATAATTTTAGTTCTCTGTAAGACATATTAAAAAATTAATTTTCTTACTGATAATGTTTATTCTCTTTCCTTCAGAGGCTTACAAAAAGTTCTTTGTGCATTTTATTGAAACAATTTAGCAAATACTGTAAGCTAAGCTATGTTAGAAACATCTGTATTTTTATTCAATTATATAATAAACCTCCCACACTATTATGTTATAATCTTTGGCAGTGTTTTCTGTATCAGTATTTGCTGACAAAAGAGTTCATTTTGAAATATCATCATTATGCTTTCTGGGTAATAGTGAGGCCATTTTAATCACAGAAAAAAGAACAAGTTTTCCCAATGATATGTCACTTTTTTGGGATTTTTTTTAAGCAACCTCACAAAATAGGCCTGCACATGTTACTTGTTACCGCCCCCCCTCCTTTTTTTTGAGACAGGGTCTTACCCAGGATGGAGTGCATGATCTTGGCTCACTGGAGCCCTCAACCTCCTGGGCTCAAGCGATCTTCCCATATCAACCTCCTGAGTAGCTGGACTACAGGTGTGTGCCCCACACCCCTGACTAATTTTTGTATTTTTTGTAGAGATTGTATTTCACCATGTTGCTTAGGCTAGTCTCAAACTCCTATGCTCAAGTGATCCACCTGTTAGGATTACAACAGACATGAGCCACCCACCCCAGCCTATTATTTTTTTTTTTTATTTGAGACAGGGTCTCACTGTTGCCCAAACTGGAGTGCAGTGATGCAATCATAGCTTACTGCAGCCTTGATGTCCTGGGTTTAAGTGATCCATACATAGCCTCCTGAGTTGCTGGGATTATGGGTGTGCAACACCACATCCAGCTAATTAAAAAAAAATTTTTTTTTGGTAGAGACAGAGTCTTGCTATATTGCATCAGCTAGTCTTGAACTCCTGATCTCAAGTTATCCTCCCACCTCAGTCTCCCAGAAAACTGACATCACAGGTAGGAGCCACCACGCTTGAACCTATTGTTGCCTGTAGTAAAATTTTCAAAGTCCTGGATTGGTTACCAAATAACTTTAAACACAATTGGAAAAATTGCTAGCTAATCGTAATGGCTTCATATTATCATTAGAAAATACCTTGAAACATTATATGCACTTAGGGTAAGGCTCTTCATTAATAAAAGTGGAAGTGAACCAATATTTCGAAGAGTATTCTTCATAATTTTGAATTTGATGGTCAATTTCCTATCATATCTGATAAATGTGGTTTCCCTTTATCTTCAGAGAATATGTTCCAAGGCCCCTAGTGAATGTTTGATACTGCAGGTAGTACTGACTCTAACTATACAAACTCTAACTATACTACATTTTTTCCCATATATACATACTTATGAGAGACTTTAATTTATAAATTAGGCACAGTAAGAGAGTAGTAACTAATAATAATTTATAAGTATAATAATACCTAAAAAAATATCCTATTTTAATAGGATGAGTAACAATATGCCAACATCACTACTCATGCACTTTGGGGTCATTCTTAAGTAAAATAAAGGTAACTTGGATACAAACCACGACATTTGATCTGATAACCAAGATAGCTACTAAGTGACTGATGAGGGAGAGGGAGTAGCATATACAATGAAGATATGCTGGATGAAGAGATGATTCACATCCCAGTTGGACAGAGCAGGAGAGCATGAGATTTCATCACAATATTCAGAATGGTGTACAATTTAAAAACTTATAAATTGTTTAATTCTGGAATTTCGTATTTAATATTTTTTGGACTGTAGGTGACTATAGTAACTGAAACCTCAGAAAGTAAAACTGCAGATAAAGAGGGAGTATTCTAGTAACGATTTGTTTTCATCTCATCGATGTGTCTAACAAAGAGCTAGAAGTTAAGTAGATGTGCCAGCACTATTTTCTTGTGGTGGATGGGTGCTTGCCTTTTAGTATTGTCTGGTTTCACTGCAAGAAATCTAAGCTCCCTGGCCACTTTGTGAATAGTGTGGTGAATGCTAGATGATATCCATACATTCAATCAACTGCTGAAAGCAAAAGTATGAGTGAGGAAATGTGCATTCTCCCTTTTCTTTCAGGATACCTTCTCATAGCATGTGTGACATACCTGTCTTGTTGACTGAGTTAGGATGTTAATATCAATTTGTACACATTATTAATAAAGCTTCATTTCTTTTTTTTTTTTTAAATATAAATAGAAGTGCTAATAGCCTTCCCCTAAACTGGATTGCACCCACGACCATGCCCAGCTAATTTTTGTATTTTTTTGTAGAGATGGGGTTTTGCCTTCTTGCCCAGGCTGGTCTTGAAGTCCTGAGCTCAAGTGATCCACCCACCTCAGCCTCCTAAAGGGATTATAGGTGTGAGCCACCAGGCCTGACTGATCATGGGTTTTTAATCTGGAAGTAAAGATTATTTGGTCCAACCTCCTCATTTTAATCTGAAAATAGGTTTACAATAACCCACAGTAAGTACTAAAATCTTAATTTCCTAATTTCCAGTACAACTATCCTTGTTAGTATTTAATATCATACCTCTATACCTATAGCAATTTATCTGAATTTATTAAGCACTCTGTAATATAATGCACAAGGCACTGGTTCTGGACACTGAAAGGGAATAAGATATGATCCCAGACCTAAGTTGTTTAATTGTCTTACCTGCTGAATGAATTCATCTCTTTGGTCCATTATTATTTTCTGAGGAGGTCCATATAAGAAAAATATATTGATAATAGCTTTAGAAACTTCTGATGCTGAAACATCACATAGAGGCAAAATCATAACCCATTTGGTGAACAAATCTGTCATGATTATAGCATACACATGACTTCTGTTGCTTGTATGAAAAGGCCCCATCAGATCAACAGTAACTAAACTCCATGGATTGTCCACCTTGAGAAGATGTTGTTTCGGTGCTACAATAACTGTATTTTTTGCTACTTGGCAATGCTGACAAGCGTATACCTACAAACAGGCACACAATAAAGAAAATATATACAAATGTTAATACTCAACACAATATAAAAGCAGTCTTATAAATCTGAATTTTAAAATGATTAATAGGTACATTTTGTGTTTTGAAGGAGAAACTTGCAGACTGAGAATCACTGGATTAAACCTATTTAGAACAACAAATGAGTAAAACAACAACAAACAACTGTAGTTGGCACTACAGTGGACCCTCAAACAACATGGGTTTGGACTGTGAATGTCAGCTTATACATGGCTTTTTTTTTCAACCAAACACAAACAAAAAATACAGTATTGGTAGGGAGGGATGTGAAACTCAAGTAAACAGAGTTGACTTCTTATATATGCAAGTTCCACAGGCCGACTGCAGGACTTCGGTATGAGTACATCTGGTTATATGAATGTGGTGCTGGAACCAATCCCATGCGCATACTGAGGGAAGATTATACTACCAAATGACCATCTTACAGGTCTTATTCACATGGAACATAAATGTGGTTCATAATCAATATTTATTAAATGCTTAGAAAGATCTTAAGTTTCCTATCATTTAAAATCAGTATGGAGATTTACAATAATTTCTATATGCACAAATTGTTTCCTTTAAAGTTATCACATTAAGAAGTTGATTGATAATCTATTCTAACCGTATTTATTGAAATATAATTTCATTCATAATATATGCTAGAAAATTTTCTAGGTCATGGAAAAAGAGTAAACATAAACAAAACTCATGCTGTTCTGCAGCTTTCATTTGAGTTAGAAAAGATCAACTAATCAATTTATGGATGGGTGCCATTTCTCTATAGATTTCTGGAATTCCACCCTGGAGACTACTTTCAAACTAGCTTCTGAGGAAAAATTTAAAAGTCATTTAATCACGTTATAATCACAGTTACTTTTGAACAGAATTTTCATTTTCCAATTTAAACTTATTTGTTGGATTTTATCACAAATAACTTCTGATTATTCTCAAAAGTTATATCATTCTTAAATGATAACAATTTGACAGATTTCACTGAATGCTTGTAAAAAATGCATGGCAGGGAAAATACATAAATTATGAAGGCCTTTGGAATACCTGAATAGATCCATAAACCAATAACTCACAAATAATACTTGGTTAAATGCTGGTTTAATTCCTTATGCTTGAAATGCCAGTATTTTTGATGCACTACTACAATTATTAAGGAGATCTCACATATATTTCAATGAATTCCTACCATTTGGCATACAGTGCACTGGAAAGAGTAGGATCAGATGACTTCCAGCATGAAACCCAGAATTCCTATAGGTGAATTTTCTATCAGGAGAAGGTACCAATGGGTCACAAAGTTACAAAACTCAGACTTATTTCATTATCCTCAAAATTTGATTTTAGTTTTATTTGGTATGGGTTTACATTCTATCTCAAGATGAAACAGGCACAAAAGATGAGAGCATATACTTTCCCGTTCAAATTATACTTAAGTGATTTAAAACAACTGTGAAGGAAAATACAACTCCCTTTAAGTGGTTTTTTAAATAAAAATAACAATGCCAAATATACTTAACAAAAGGTGATACCCAGAATAAATCTGGGGAAATAATAGATTTTAAATATCTATCAGAAAGTCATTATTCATAATATTCTAAATACATAAGCCATACCCACTGTTTGACATCATTGGTCACAGATGTCCAATAATAATTGGATTCTACCAGAGTGAGGGTCCTGGATATACCATGATGAGCTCCACTGTCATTTTCATGGCATTCTCTTAAGACTTTCTTTTTTTCCTCTTCTGAAACAATTACCAAACGATTTTGTTTTCTGTCTTTTCCAACATAAAACAGCTTTTTTTCTAGAATAAAGGATAACAAAAAGATAAAACTGCTATTTTTAGAGATCTATGTAGTTTTAAGGCAATCATAGCCTTCTGTTTAAACCATGAAGGTTTTTGTTTTGTTTTATAAAATCTTACTGCATTTAAAATAGAATATTTATTTGTAATGATGCTACCACACAAAGGTTCTTAGCTGTTACACTTGCTAGATACTTAGGAAGGGCAGTAACTGCTATAATTTTGTAGATATCAATATAAGTAGAGCAAGCTTTTTTATCAAAGCACGTAATCACTACGGAAATAGGAAATTATCTCTCTATGGGAGTACTCAAAGTAAGAAGATTTTGCAGGCACTTTCTAAAAATGGAATAGATTAGCGAATAAATTATGTACAGAGAAACAACTTCCTAGAACATAATTTTCTAAAATAATGTTTAATCATCACTGCATTTTTGCAAGCAAACAGCTCTCTCAGCTTTTTCTGGATTTGAATAGAAGGTAGGGATGGTGAAGTGGGAAAGTGGCAAAAACCTTAATCCTCAAGATAATTCTCTGTTTCCTAGGAGGACATGTGAGAAGAATCTGCAGTTGGGAAGTAACGAGCTTATGGGCAGAATCACCATCTACTTCTCTAATATGAATGGGCTAGCTATTCAAACTCCAAAATACCCATTCAGCTACTAATATGAGTAAGCAGATTGAGAAGTGGAACATTCCTTACTTTTTAGAATTAGAATATAAGCAACCTGAGAGCAGGAATCTTATCTACGTTATTTAACAATATATCTCCAAGATTTAGAATGTGACTGGCACATAGGAGAAACCCAGTTAACATTTGTTACATAAATTATCAAATATATGAACGAATGAATCCTCACTTTAGTCTAACTGATAATGGGTCTGCCTAATCTTAAGTATAAGGGAGTTATTGGTAGGGACATACACAGGGAGACATGAGCAGGCATTTATTTATTATCCTAGAATTTTATTAACCTGCTTTGGGATAAGCCTAAAAGGCAAAGTTCCCATTTAAACACAAACATTCATTTAATTAACTGGTGACTACTTGTTGCTTATCTCATCCCAAACTTCTCTTCTCTTTTATAGGTGAAAAATAAAAAATTATCATGACATTCCAAGATAAATATCCCACTGCCTTTCAAATATCTAATCCATCTGGGGAGATTCAAAGATCCTAAAATAAATGTGATCCTAAGAATATTTAATGGCACTGGTGGAGGTTAGGGGGACGTGATCACAGAAATATAGTTAATTCCTTTCAGTTTTTATTTTAGTAAACAACCCAGTCAACTTTGTCAACATTTTCATATCAAGCATCAGAAACGTTCCTCACTGACAGTGACATCAGTGCTGGAAAGTGCACCATTAGAGAACATGAGAGAACAAAAGCAGAAGTTGTTAATTTAGAAAAATGTTTTGTTTTCTTTCATGGTGTCACATTCTGCCTATAATTTAAACCTTCCTTTTCGTGCTTACTGGCCTTCAGTTAGCTTGAGTGTAATTTTAATTTTGCTTTTGATGGAGTGGCATCATCAATTCAACTGCTAATTGTTTAGCAACAAAAATTACTACAGAAATTCTCAAACTTCTACAAAGAAGAATGTGGGGAAGCATCTACAACTCAATAATCAAGAGTTTGAACATTCATTTTACCTTTGAAGACAAATTTTTTTGCTGCTCTTCTTATGCCACTTCTCTCACTTGGCAGTGTAGTTGGATGATATTCACCAGTTCGTCTGTAATATGCAATCTGTTTAAGATGAAGATCACCATTTTTTCCACTACGGACCATTGTGAACCTAGGTAAAATGTATTTAAAAAGATAATTTAAATTTTAAGCTAACTGAATTGCCATTTCAGTTCAGACTTCTGTCATATTTCTACTTACATATGAACTGAGAATTCTCAGAATTTATTTGAGGAAGATAATTGCAGTACAGGAAAGGAACAGTGATGTATATGAACGAAAATACTCAAATGCTATTTTTGAGATATCCCATGACAAATTATCTTATCTCTTTCCATTTGACAAGAAATATTGAAAATTTTCCACATACTGAGAGAAAAGGAAATCAACCAGTATATTTCAAAAAGGTTTAAAATTTCATTGCTATCAACTGAAATGTTACTTTCACAGGATGGTAACACAGGAGGACACTGTCATGTGACATTTAAATAAATAAGTTATAAGAAATGAAATATAGTTTTATATTCCTTGTAAATAGAGTCATGGTATTTCTTCTTCTTGCCACCTTAGCCTGAAGGTGGTAACTGTTTTTGCTATTGACAGTCTCCAGGTGTCATGTTGTTTACTTTGTTACAGTCTATAAAAAGGTGCTCCATTAAACTGATTTCAGACATCTCACTAGAATGTCTTCTGTTTTCTGCTAGGATTCTAATACAAATCTGACAACTTTGAAATTATAAAAAAAAAAAAAAATAGATGTTTACTGACCACTGGGGGATCTAGGAATGAGACTAAAAGAATACTCACTGGCAAAAGAATGCTGGGACAAAGCAGAACAGACTGTGCCTATTGCCATTGTTTAACCAGCTTATCAGTTCACTTCCCCTATGATACAGCTCTTCGCAAATGTAAAAACCATCTTTCTGATCTATTTTAAACCTCCAGAGAAAGTAACAGTACATTTCTTACCTTAGGTTAACACAAAGTATATGTCAATTTAAAAGCAATGTTTCTGAAATGTTAACACAGTCCCATCATAACCTAAAAAAACACGTTGATTATTGCTATAAAGTATTATAAGATAATTAGTTTATTCTAAGTTTAATTCACTTGCAATTATTAAATACATAATTTTTATTTCACTTTCTAATAGCCAGCTGTACCTCAAACCAAAAACATGTAGCCTATCACAGTTTCTAAATCATCTCAAAGATGAATGGCTCAGATTTAAGACTTTTTATACAAATAAAGTAAATAAAACAAGTTAACTGGCATAAGGACATACAAATATATCACTGCAATTGAACAAGGAGTTCAGAATTATATCCACACATGTAAAGATAATACATTTACAATGAAGGCATCAATATAATGAGGAAAAAGATGGTCATTTCAATAAGTGATGCTAGACAACAATATTTTCCCCCCAACCTGTATTGGGTGGAAAAAATGAACCTTAACCACCTACCTCACATCTTACACAATAATTAATTCCAGATAAATCATAAACTTAAATGTGAAAGATAAACAATGATTCTGGAAGAAAACATAAGCAAAGATTCTTAAATAGGCCACATAAAACACTATCTGTAAAAGAAAAAAAATAGCAATATGGATTTATCAAAATAAAAATGTGTACTCATCAAAGACAACATTAAGAAAGTGAAACCACAGGACACACATTGGGAGAAGATATCTTTAATATGTTTATCTAACAAAGGACTCAGAACCAGTGTATGCAAAGAACTTGTAAATATCAAAAAGAAAAGGACAAAACGCCAATTCAAAAAATGGGGGAGGGAAATTTTTACATAGCACTTCATAAAAGAACATCCAATGGTCAATAAGCAAGTGAAAATGTGCTCAACATCATTATTCCTCAGGCCAATGCAAATAAAACCACAATGACTTGGCTAAAATTAAAAACCACAGACAACATCAAGTGTTGGTGAGGATAGGTAGCAACTGGAACGTTCATACATTGTGGGAGGGTAAAATGTTATAACCACTTTGAACTTTATTCCACTGCCACTGCCTTAGTTCACTCACCTTCTATCTGACCTTGCCTCCTTTGTCTCTAATAATAGTATCTGTTCTCACTGCAGTCATGGAGGTCACACTAAAACACAAATCTTGTCAAAATATTCACTTAACTTGAAATAGGCCTTTTGCCATTCCTGATTGTCCATTTGAGTGGTTATAACAAATATACCACAAACTGGATGGCTTACAAACAGAAATTCCTTTCTCACAGTTCTGGAGGCTAGGAAGTACGACATCAAGATGCCAGCAAATTTAGGGTCTACTGAGGGTTCATTTTCTTACAGGCAGCTGTCTTCTACTGTAACTTCACATGAGGAAAGGGGACTTTTAAAATATGGGCACTAATCCCATTAATGAGGGCTCTGATCCATGATCAAGTCACCTCCACAAAGTTCCAACTCTTTTTTTTTTTCTTTAAGACAGAGTGACACTCTGTCACCCAGACTGGGGTGCGGTGGCGCAATCTCAGCTCACTGCAACCTCTGCCTCCCAGGTTCAAGCAATTCTCATTCCTCAGCGTCCCAGGTAGCTGGGAGGTGCGTGCTACCAAGTCCAGCTAATTTTTGTATTTTTAGTAAAGACAAGGTTTCACCATGCTGGCCAGGCTGGTCTCAAACTCCAGACCTCAAGTGATCCACCCATCTCAGCCTCCCAAAGTACTGGGCTTATAGGCATGAGCCACCATGCCCGACCCCAAAGTCCCACCTCTTAATACCATCACCTTGGTGGTTAGGATTTCAACAAAGGAATTTTGGGAGAATGAAACCATTAAGACGATAGCACTAACGATGTCTAAACACTTCTGCCAGTATACAAGGCTTTATAAGATATGGTCATTACCAGTCTCTCCATGTTTTTCTCTTGGCAGTCTCAATTCGAAAAATAATCACAGTTCTTCAAACATCCCATGCAGTGTGCTCATACCTTTTCATTGATATTTTTTGCCTGGAATGAACTTTATTCCCATTTCTTCAGCCCCTAGTCATCTTTTGAAACTCTGGCTAGGTGTCATTTCCTACAATGTCTTCTAACCACTCCAACCTGGAATAACTTGAAATTTTAAGAATGAGTTGGAGTTACAAGATCAAATTTCGATCACCAAAATGGAATAGAGATTGGGGTAGAGACAGGAAAATCTATACCAGTCAGCTAGGGAACTACTGTAAAATTAACGCAAGAAATGATGAAATTCTGAGTCAAAGCAGTGTCAGTATATAAACGGATAGATACATCATATAAGAACTGTGACTGACTAGATGTGTGGAGTAAATGCAAAGAAGAATCTGGGATTATTTCTGAAGATCTGGCTTAGGGAGAAAGATGACACTATTAAGCAGGTTGCATTCTTCATGGTTAAGCTCAGCATGTAAAAAGTAGGTGAAGTTAAGGCAATGGAAGAAGGATCAGATGGAAAGTGTACAGAGTAGGTAGTACAGTAGATGTATCCTTATCCTTCAACATTCACATTAATGAGTTCACTCATCTATGAATCCTTTTTGACACAGTCTCCGAGATTTGTGCACACTTTCCTTGGCACATTCACAGTAACATGTATCAACTGTTATCATAAAATCTGAAACACTCTATTGAATGTATTAGTTTATATGTCTCTCTCCCAAATATATTGTGAATCTTCAGGGATATGAAAATAGCCAGAGAAATAGAAAAAAAAAGCCAGAAGAGGTTCTGGTAATAGAAGTGTAGGAAATACAAAGTTCTTAGAAATAGAGAGACTCAGTGATATACGAACAATTATGTAGCTAGTGGCTTTGGAACAGTATAGAGTATAGCTACAGTATAGCAGGGCAGGTGGTGACCAGACTGCAAAGAAATGAATGGGAAGTCAGTAAGTGGATTTAGAAACTTGAGCTTAGCTGTAAGGCAAGAAGCTACAAGACAGCTGCTTGAGACAGATAAAAGGTTCCTTCATTGATCTAAAAAATGTTACTGAGTAACTGCTACACTGGAGACAGGATAATAAACAAGATGTAGATTCTCTTGACCCTCAGTTTTGACAGCCATGCTCATAGCAGCATCACTCACAACAGCCAATTGATGGAAGCAACTTGTGTCCATCTATAACTGAATGAATAAACAAAATATTGTGTATATATTCAGACATCTTTAAAAGGAAGGAGATTCTAACATGTTACCACATGGATGAATATTGAGGACATTAAGCTAATCAGGAATGAAATGAACCAGTCACAAAAAGATAAATATTGTATGATTCCACCTATGTAAGGTACTCATAGTAGTCAAATACAGACAGAAGGAAGAATAATGGTTGCATAGAACAGAGGGTGGGGAAGAGAGAATGAAAGAGTTATTGTTTAACTGGTCAAGAGTTTCAGCTATACAAAATGAAAAGAGTTCTGGAGATGGATGGTGGTAGTAGTTGTACAACAGTGTGAATGTACTTAATGCCACTGAACTGTACACTTAAAAATGGTTAACAGTAAATTTCATGTTATGTGTGATTTGCTACAATTAAAACAATTTTTTTAAACAAGATTGTTTTGCTTTCAAAAAGGGAATAACCCCCAAAATTTAATGCTAACAGAAGGGATTCTAGAAAGACCAATGAAAACAGAGGAGAAAAAAAAAATTCATGACTGATGGTATGATGTTCCTGAGATGGCACCAGGGGATGGCACCCAATTCACAAATAGAGGGATTAGTTCTGTGATCTCTTCCGATAAAGATATCATAGTGAATATAATAACGGGCGTAAATTATTTATTTCTGAAATACCACTAAACAGTCCCATATAGGTTTGTGACTAGAATGTGGAAAGCTGGAGTCACTCCCTCTCTACCACTGAGAAAAAGCTGGACAAGATGCCAATTTTCCCCAAATTGATCTCTATAGATACAACGCAGTCCCAGTCAGAAACCCTCAAGCTCTTTTGAGGAAACTGACAGGCTGATTCTAAAACTGATATGGAAAGCTGAAGGACTCAGAATAATCAAAACAACTTTGAAAATGAATATAGTTGAAGAATTTCACATTATATGGTTTCAGGACTTTCTATAATGCTATGGCAATCAAGACTGTGCTATAATGGCAAAATGACAGCCTTAAATCTACGGAACAGAATAGTGCTAGAAACAGCCACTCAGTTATGGTAAACTGATTTTCAACAAAGGTGCCAAGGTAATTCAATGAAGAATGGATAATATTTTCAACAAATGTAACAATTAAACATCCTTTGAAAAAAGATGAACCTCAACTCATATCTCATACAATCTGTAAAAATTAATTCATGATAGGCCACTGACCTAAATGTACAACTTAAAACTATACAACTTCTTGAAGACAACAACAACAACAAAATCTTCGTGAGCTTAGGTTGGGTAGCAAAGAAAAAACACCTATCCATAAAGAAAAAAATTAAAACTTTTATTCTTTAAAGAATTGCTGAAAACAGAGAGAGAAGTAACACTGGGATAAAATATACATATATGATAAATCACTTGTATCTAGAATTCTAAAGAATTCTCAACTTAACAAGAAAGCAAACAACCCAATTTAAAACATGGAAAAACAGACACTTCACCAAAGAGGAGATATGGTTAGCAAATAAACACATGAAAAAATGCTCAACATCAATAGACAATGAAAAAAATGTAATTAAACCACAGTAAGATATGACTACACACTAACAACGACAAAAATAAACAAAACCTGACAATACTAGTTACTACCAAAGATACAGAGCATAGCTGGTGATAATAGAAAATGGCATAAACATGTTGGAAAACAGTTTGGCAATTTCTTATAAGTTAAACATCAATTTACCATATGGTCCAGCAATACCAATCTTAGATACTAAACCAAAAGAAAATATGTACACCTAAAAATCTGTAAGTGAATGTTTCTAGACGTTTTATTCATAACAACCAAAACCTGAAAACAAATGTTTACCAACTGGTGAATAGATAAACAAATTATAGTAGATCCACACAGCGGAATATTATTAAGCATTGATAAGAAACAAACGACAAGTAGACCTAACAAACTGAATAAATCTCAAAATCATGCTAAGTGAAATAAGCCAGACAAAAAAGGCTATATACTGTATACTTCTGTTTATACTTTTGCAAAAACCAAAAGTATAAATTAAAAAATTTAAAGTTTTAAAAACAATTGCCAATGCAATTGCACTGCATAAGAATGTTTTGGTTAAGGATGTACTGCCTATGAGATAGTGGTCCTATAAGATGATAATGGAGCATATATAGAAACTTCATATAGGGCATTTGATATTAGCACTGCAGATCAAGTGGGAGGAATCAATGACAATAAAGTGGAGGGACATTTGGTTTTCTATATGAAAAAATAAACACACACACACACACACACACACACACCCTCATCTAGGTTCATGTAGGTAGAGTCTGTATTCACTCAATGCTCAAACTGCCTAACAAAGCATTTCTCAGAATTTATCCCCATTGCTAAGTGACTCGCTACTACACTGCAAATATTTATATAACATTTTACTATGATAATCCTCATAATACTCCATGGAGTAGATATTAGTTTTGTATCCTTTCTACAAGTAAGAAAATGGAGGTTCAGAGATTGTCCAATTTACTGGAAGAAATAAAATGAGGACATGTGCTGACATCTGTAACTTGGTATCTCTTCAAATTTCACACTTTTTCTCCCTGCTGTACCAAAAACTCAATTACCTGTTATCCTTAGCATTTGTAATACTTGGTTCAGGCTTCTGTTAAACAATATAAAGTGATTTGTCTAATAATATTTTAGATTATAAATGAGAAATGGAAAGATCTTATTAATTTTTTATGTCTACATTGTTTTAAGTGTTCAGAACATAGTGGACATTCAACTGTTTGTAAATGAATAAAGAATTACTTGAATTTCCTGAAAGGATAATTAAAAATAACAATGAATTGAAAAATAGCAAATATTCCAGAGGTAACTTATTTCACATTTGAAAACATTATACTTTACTTTCACATACATAGCACTATAAGTAAACTGTGCTATGTATGTGACTTACGCATTAATATCCATGTTTGGAAAAGTACGTAACATCTTGTTCTTTTTCACAATTATCAGGATGAAGATAATGAACTTAAAAGTCCTTTGTATATGGTAAAGTATAATTATCATATCTAAGTATTATCATCCATATCAGGCTGTTGAAAGTAACAGAGAACCCTTTCTTTTCCCAAAATCTTCATCTACATGAAAATATATTTTAAAATCTCTTTCCTTTCATTAATGGGGATTAATACTTTATAGCAATGCTTCTAAAGCTTTACTGCTAAGAACAAAATCAGAAGACTCGGGAGTTACATCCTTTGATGATGATATTACAGTCTAATGCAGTTAAGGAACTACTTGTTCTGGAGGTAGAGAGATAGATGACAAAAAGAAATAGAAAATACATAAGAAAGAATCAGTTCACGAAAAGCACAGCCTTTGAAGTAGATAGTTAAAACTTTTACCGCTAATAATTGGTATTCATATATAAAAATAACCTGAAAGAAAGTTTTTTTTTTTTTTCAAAGCCTATACACATACACTACTTGGTCCCTAGAAACAACGTATTTGAAAAGTAGTTAATATGAGAAACTGGCTTGAAGCTATCATATTCAGGGCAAATATAAATATTTTCTTATACTCAAAGATTATTAAGTAAAGGTATCATTTACAAGGAGATTAAGTGGTTTCAACTAAAGACTGTCCTGGGACTTCTTTGGATATGCTTACATTTTCAAGAATTTGTTAAAATAATTACTTATGTCCTTAAACATGTAGGAAGAAGAAAAAACGAAGGTAGTTGCTTACAACTTGTAGTTTTACAAAGGAATGTCAGCATCATATTTGGTTAAGCTTTGTACACTTTGTCCCCTGCATGACATCAAATAAAATCAAGTAATTGCTTAATTCCTGTGATAATTTTATGTTTGTGTTCTATAAAGGTAGTTAGGTACTACGTCAAATAAAATTAGGAATTAACTATTTCACCAAGGGTTAAAAACAAAGTTACCAATTCAAGCCCCTAAAAGGTTGTAATACCCGCTAGTTCCAATCTAAAATCTGCAATTTTCAGTCAACACATTAATTTGGATCGAATTCTGACATTTGAATTATTCTATTTTAAGGTCCAAAAAATGGACACGCACAATTTTAGGCAACATCAAGGGCTTGGAAATTCAAATACACGTTTCTGCAATCTGCTTCACTTGAGAGTATAAATTCATTTAACTAAAAATATCTTCATCGCCATATGCATTCACCTGAAGCCACATGGGATAAATGCATTCTCACTTCAAAAAGTATCTACTTTGGTTCAGAAATGCCCATTTAAGAAAAACCCACACTAAGATAAAGTGTACATTTTCCTTTTAAAGTTATGTGACAGGATTCCGTCTTGAGCTCACGTTTCTCCCCTCCCCGTGTTTAAATCTGGAGCAAAATTTCAGATTAAATGATTGATCAAAGTAATAAAAAAATTCTTCAACGCCGGCCAAAATTGCTTGGAGTTTCAAAAGATACTAAACTGTGAGGGAGCATTTCCTAAGCGTTTCGGCGATTCGTTAACTAACTCTTAAGGACAAGGTCCAGCTACACTAAGAATCAGCAGGAACATGACCACTTGGTAAAACTCAATTACAACCCAGTAGGCACCTCTCCGGGCCCGAAACAGCACTCGCCCTTTCTGCTCAGCTCGCGCGGGACGTCACAACACCCAAGGCCCTCCCGCCTCAAAGGCGCCTGCGCAAAATCTCCCCACAGACTCAATTAAATCCTTCCTTAGGCCGACAGAAGCGAATGGTTTTAAAATTACTGTCAGGTTATGCCTCACTTGAAAAAAGCAGTAAGTATGACACAGCACACCAGAATGACCACTCACCGAGGTGGTCCTAAATTCAAACGACAGGATTTAAGCTTCCTCTCGAGATTTATCTGGCGCTGCCGGAAGCGGAACTACCCGGGTTCTTAAGAGAATAGTCCTTTTGGGAGCCTTAGGAACCACGGTCAGAAAGGTTAGGGCGGATCGTTTGGCTTTTGCCGGAAATTGTTCCGCCCGGTGCTGTTTCGGCGTGAGACCCGAGGAGGGCGGGGAAGAGGCGTGACCGATATTTCTGAGGTGTAGTAGCTTGAGCTGCCCTAATGTGGCCCTGGAGCTGCTACTGAAGGAAGTAGCGTGCGTCCACGCCCACAACTGAAGTCTCAGGACGAACACCTCACCCCTACCTCCGGGATGAAAGGGGGGAACCTAGACCTGAATGGGCTTGACCGTCTCCCGACTGCTCGCGTAACGACCGCATTCGTGGCAGGTGAGGGCCCCGAAACCGGAGAAACGGAGATGCGGAATCTGATCATGCCAAGGTTGAGGCGGCTGCTGGGCTTCTGCTTTGTCTCCCGTGCTCTGCATACCCTAAACACGCGCTCCACCGAGGGGCAAGTGCCGGAGCGGATGACAGCATGGGCGTGGAGTGACAGTATAGCTTTAAGGTCCTTTCGCTCCCTGATTTATCCTCCTGCTCCCCTATGGCGTCCCTTTTTCATTTCTTGGGTTTGAGACGCCAGAAACTGTAGCTCAGCTAAAAGGGAACTGCCGAGCTTCTATTCTACTCGGTGTCTGGCTCCACCGAAGTGATTAGACTCGAGTTGTGGGACTGCTGTGGGTAGACGTGGCTGTTTAAAAATTTTTCTTCCTTAGTCTTTATCCCACTCTGTCAACCCCACACCCACTTTAAAAGAACAAAAGCCTCGTGTGTTGCAGCTTTTCTTAGTAGGGTCCGAGGCTGCAGGCCACTGCTACACCTCCAACTGGAGGGCGTTGCAGCCTTCTGCACCTTGAAGGGGAAGGGGCCAGGGTGGCGATCCCTGGATGGGGCTCATTCACGAGGTTCTTGACCACTTCCCGGGAGTTTGCGACTCTTGGAATTCTTTGGATAGTAGCTGTCTTGCTGGAAGGCTTAACTATGGAAGTGGGAAGCATAGCTGATCTAAGCATGTAACATCCTCGCTGTATACTGGGACGGGATTTTGTTTTGGTGTTAATAAATATTTTTTGTCTCAGATAAAATAATAACGATAGTTGCCATTAATGGAGTCTTATGTGTGCCAAATGCTTTACATATTTTGTCATTCATTCCTCTAAACAATTCCAGGAGGCATGTTAGATTATTATCACCATTTTGCAGAGTTAGAAATTGAGGCTTTGAGCAGTCAAGCAACTTGCACTAGTAAACATTCGTTGTAAGTAAACGTTTGAATCTGTGTTAAAAACCAGATCTCTCTGCTTTCAAAATCTGTATTCTATTGTCCCTACCTTGTTCTTCCTCGATTTCAATTTCTTCACTAACATTTTCAGTGTCTGAAAGTATTCATTTATTTTAAAAAATTTCTTGTACCTACTTATATGTCCGAAAAAAGATAGACATGATCTATGTCTATGGAGTATTGTGATACAGAATTAAGTAGTTCCAAACCCAAAATACTGTACTTACTGCAGCACAGGTTTATGTAAAGCAAATGACTAAACTGATGCACAGAAATTTTTAAAATCAAACGTTGCTGTTTAAATTTTAAATTCATATGACTTTCAGAGTAGTTATTATGAGGTAGAACATCTGTTGATTACCCAAGTAAGTGCTATGCACCCAGTTAAGTGGTGGGAACATAGATTAGGTCCTTGTTCTCTAAAAGCTTCCATGCAACTACATATTAATTGTACATTAACATTCTCACGTGGAAAAGGAATTGTGTAGGACGATGTTCTTAGTTTTTAGGAGATGCATACTAAAGTACTTGAGATGAGGTATGTTAATACCTAGTACTTTCAAATGGTACAGCAAGTGTGTATGTGTGTGTGTGTGTGTATTAAAAAGACAGCAAATATGGCAAAATGTTAGCAATTGTGAGTATAATGGTGGGTATATGGATGATTAATACACTGTTCTTTCAACTTTTCTGAGTATTTGAAATTTTTCATAATAAAAAGTTGGAGAGGAAAATATGCAACTCTGATGGAAACAGATAAGTGAAAAGATCTAAAATGCCGCAGAACATAGAAGATGGGAGAGAGTTTTTAGGTTTATTAACACAAAACAGAGGTGTGATAGTTCTTAGGAAACCCTTCATTGAACACTTTCCAGTTGGTTTTTGAAGCAGGGATAGGAACTTTCAAGGAGAGTGGTGATTTCTGGGCAGAAGGAAATGCAGATTCAGCAAAGAGATACTAAATGAACGTTTGAAGAAGGAAAAAAATTCAACATGAAGGTTGTGTGGAACTTGGAATGGGCTTTTTTGTGTAATCCTATTAATGAGCCAGATTGCCTGTGCCAGCCTGCAGAAGCCTATTTATTCGCTGTTGTGTGGATGCACTATTAGTGCCCTGGAAAGGAATCACCGTTTATAACAATATTTGCACTGGAAAATGCTTTTGAATTTTCAGGAAAACTAGTTATGTATTTGCATTAAGACTGAGCAGCAGGAGCAGGAGCTCCCATTTCCTCTGATTTTGAGAGTAGAAATCTACTAGTTTATAGGCGAGCTCCTGAGGGAACCTATGAAAAGGGCTACACAATGATGGCTTGGAAATTTTAAGCTCTGGTAAGGAGGGGTCTGAATACTAGGTGGAACTGATGGCTGATGCAGGGTGTTATTTTGAGGATCAGGTAGCTCTAGCCGCTACCAGTAAAGGTATGAAAGAGACGACTGATTATCTCCGGTAGTAGTGTTTATGATAGCCTCAAGCAGTGTGGTAAGACTAGAAAAGATGTAAAGAGGTCTTCAACAACAGCAGTAGCAAAGGATTTCTGTGTCTTCATTAGAAAAGAGGTAAGTAGATATATTCTAAATTGAGTTATTTATATTTGTTCCTTGCCAATTAAATCTGTTAGAAAACTGTCATAACAATATTTAACAAAATATTAAACAGCTGCTATTTACTGAATGCTTAATATGTGCTATTTACTGTGGTGTCTGTATTGTAATTTAATCATCAAGACAATGTATAAGATTCATAATTCCATTTTATAGATGACTAGAGAGTTTCAATAACTTGACTTAAGACACAGAGCAGAGCAACTTTCAGAAAAAGTTTTCAAACTCAGAGTTTTATGTCTAGAGCAATTGTTCTCATAGTGTGATTCCAAGATGTGCAACATCAGCATCACCTTGGAACTTTTGGAAAAGTAAAATATTGTCCACCACCCCTAGAGTTTTTAGTTTAGTATTTTAACAAGCTCTACAGGTGATTCTGTTGCATGCTAATGTTTGAGAACTACTGCATGAAGTGTGGACACTTTTAGTAGCGTTAACACTCATTTCAGATTTAGATAACAGGTTTAAGGGGTATTTGTCTTTTGTACAGATAGATTCCCAAATCTGGCTGCTCATCCATTTGTAAAAATATAGTTTTTTTCTAGTTAAGAATTACTGTTTAGGAATTCCTAATGTATGATAAGCCCAGTCACTTGTGTTTTAACAAGTCTATCAGATAATTCTGATGTAATCAGTCCATTTTGGGACTGCTGCTATAGAAAGAATTTTAAAATTAAAGTAAGGTTCAACACAGATACTTGAATAATGTATGTGTCTTTACGCCCAGACAGTTAACATATGTTGAAATTAATGACTGACCATTGATCAAAATGCTGAATAATGTGGAAGTACTATAAGCATAAACTGTACTTGGTTCAATTATCAGCATTTTAAGTGAAATAACACAAATCATTTGAATGTCCTGGATCTCTTATAATGCTCATAAAATTTCATCTTGTTCTATGGTATATATGCTACTTGGGTGAGAGAAATATATTTGAATTTATATTTTTAGTTTTCTGATAATTTATATTTGCAATGCTGTCATAAGGACCATGGAGCCTGATTTTTGCTCTTAAGTGAGTATAGTGGCCTTTGGTTTAAACAGCCCTGGGTTTGATTTTCATTTGCAATCTTTATTGGTTGTGTGGTGATGATCAAATTACTTAAACTTTCTGACCCTCAAGTCTTAATTTATAATGACAAAATAGACACATGCTTAATGACAAAATAGAGTACATACGTAAAGCACTTATAAAATGAAGATATTCCTAATTCCAGGATGGCTGTGAGATTGTTAAATCACAAAGTAGTAAGTAATTTCTTCCCAACTCTTTTCACGATAAGGCATACATGGAAAATGGTACTATTTGTACAGTATCCTGGGGAAACTGAAGAGAGTGCTACTGGAAGCAATTGGCCAGGGAGTAACAGCTGCCTTGAAGGCTGAGTCAATTAATTTATTGGCATACTTGTAGTTCATTCATGGTGAGGCAACAGGGTGGGAGGCTTTGAATTTACAAATATGGTACTTACTAGGTAACAGTGCCTAATAAATGTTCATTCCCTTGATATTTATGTTTTGGAGGGGTATACATAACCCAAGCTGTTAAATAATAAGGTTATAGGTGACAAAAGGTCAAAACGAATGATTCGGAGATCTTGTAAATTGTTAAGGGAAATTTTGTAGAGGAATATCTGTTGGGTACTTGAGATGTGCCAAGCACCAGGAAGACAAAAATTCTGCTTCATCAGTTTTGTCTCCTTTTTATTATAGGAAATCTCCAATAATACTCATTTTCAAAAGCTGGTTCTCAAACTTCGCTACTTATTGGAATTATCTGGGAAGCCTTAAACTTACCTGAACCCTACTCTCATTCATTTTGATTAAGTTGTGTAGAGTATAGCCTAGACTTTGGGATACAAGCACTGTTATTATATTACCTTATGTATAAAAGTATTAAAATGAGCTATATGTACAATTTACAGATAAGGAAATTGAGGCCCTAAGAAGTTAACTTACTTGCTCAAGATCAGCTAATGGGACCAGTCAGGATTTAAACCTAGGTATTTTAGCCCCTGAATCCATGCTCTTAACCACTAGCCTGTTAATTTTTTTTAATGACATCTGTTAGTATATCTCATATATTAAGATGGAATTATGGAAAATAAAAAGATAGGCTTCCTTCACTTTATGTCCTTTAGAGGTCCAA